TATTGGAAATAATGTTTTATGATCTAGAAAAAATAAATTATTCTAATAATTAATAAAATTATGTAACGTTTATATTTATATTTACCGTGACTATTAGAACTAGACAGAGTATTAGTTCGATTAATATTGTTACATGGAATTTGAACATCCGTTTTCTTTGAATTCTGTGTGGCTGCAATAAAATACATAATAATAGAATTAATACTTCAAGAATATAATTGATTCGATAACATACTTGGCGCAAAAATCTGTTCAAAATTGACATTGGATGATAATTCTTCAGTTTTTCTTTCTGTATCCTTGTCGGATGCTAATAAATTTGATATTGGAAATAATGTTTTATGATCTAGAAAAAATAAATTATTCTAATAATAAATAAAATCAAGTAACGTTTATATTCATATTTACGGTGACTATTAGAACTAGACAGAGCATTAGTTCGATTAATATTGTTACATGGAATGTTGATATCCTTTTTCTTTGAATTCTGTGTGCCTACAACAAAATACACTATTATAGAGGTCACATTTTAAGAATATAAATATGATAAATTTGAATAGCACACTTGGCACAATATATGGTTTAGTATTCAAATTGAATGATAATTCTATAGTTTTTCTTCCTGTATCCTCGTCGGATGGTAATACATTTGACCACGGAAATAATGTTCTATGATCTAAAAGAAATTGATTATTCTAATAATAAATAAAGTCAAGTAACATTAATATTTATATTTACAGTTACTATTAAAACTAGGTAGAACATTAGTTTGATCAGTACTGTTACATTGAATTTGAACATCCATTTTCTTTGAACTCTGTGTGGCTGCAATGAAATACATAATGATATAATTAATACTTCAAAAATAAAATTGATTTGATAACACACTTGGCACAATAATCTGTTCAGAATTGAAATCGGACGATGGCATTTTATTCATTTTTCGTCTTATACGCTTCTTAGATGCTAATAAATCTGACTTTTTAAATAGTTTTCTTTCAGGTACTATAATATAGTAATTATTCATTAATAATTTCATTATATCTATAATCAAACAACATTTAATGTACTTACTTGGACTGATAAAACTAGGCACAGCAGTTCTTTTCAATAACTTGTTTTCGCTATAAATGTTACTTCTATTTTCATAATCGGAGTCTAATTTGAAATGAACAGCACATACATGTGAGGACTTTGTCCTTTCGAACATAGGGTAGTACTTCTTTATGAAAGCCAACCACAAATCACCAACTTCGCCATTAGGAAATCTGTGGGTAACGGTTTGATCGGAGTTAACTGTTTGACTCTTAATAGGAAACATATCATTGAAAAAACGGTTTTCATTTCCCATGTGATCGTGTTAAGAATAATACGACGGGGCATGCGAGAAATTTGTTTGACATACCTGTGAAACTTAATGTTTTGGGCTTCTCTGGACCGGCAGCCTTTGATGCAGCACCTGTTGACCATTTTTTGTGGCGCGAGAACCGAAACGTTATTGTCCTGCGAACGACCCGGTGAACGACGACGAGAAACAAAACGAAATGTCGCGTACCAGCGCCCGGGCGCGTCGCGAGATGAATTTTAAATAGAAAGACGCAGAAAAACGTCACAATTACGCGTCCGTTTCGGATCGAGTTGTTCCAGGTACTACGGTGCGCTATTAACATTCCGTAGCGCTAACCGAAAATGGTAAGCGCGTAACCGCAAAATAATATACCTATGATAACGTATGGTCCGCTCTAACCGTACGGGGGAAATAACCAAACGCCCACTCACGCACGCGCGTTCTATCGATTGTGCTCAGCTCTTCCTCTCCGACCAATCTCTCTCGCTGCACGCCGACGAATCAACAGGTCTGTACCGTTCCCCCGTCTCGTAGCGAGTTGATTCCCGGGACCTAGTTTACGAGCTTAATCGATTCCTGGAGTCGTTATGGTGCGAGTTGATTCCCAGTTGTTGTACACCGGGGGCGTGTCCTGGGTAAAAATTCAGGACGGGCTCGGTTATAAGAATAATTTGTACGACGTACACACATTTTTTTTTTTTTTTTTAAGAAAAACTCTAATTTATTTTTAACTTGTATTAGCTACTCTGTAGTCGTATATACCTACTTATAAAATAACTTTTTATAATATTTATTTGGTAAATTGAGAATTCTCCTGTTTTTCATTTCGACAAACTCGTCGATAATCTCTGTAGGATCTCGCAATAACTACGAACTGAACTCCCTTTCAATTGATATCAATGCCAAATTATATGAAGACGCGTAGTCTTCGTAGATGTCTTTGAATGTGTCTTGATTCTTCTCATCGTCGAAAATCTTTCGGTTGCTACCGAACTAGCTAGTATACAACCAACACGCATTCAATAACCAATTTAATCACCTCAAATGACTTTCCCGTATCGCATATTTCTTTGTACAAATCTATAATATTTGTGCAGCTACTGTACATGTTTTCGCTAATCGGCTTTGGCTCACTACTTTATTCGAAAAATATTCATTATCTCCGTAATAGTTCATACATTTAAAAACAAAATTATCATTTAAAAAATTGTATCAAGAAATGTAACTGACTTCTGCGGCTCCTTTCTTTTTTGAACTTTACGAAGAATAAATTATTTGGGTTTATTTAAACGTTAAAAATCAGGGTGGGCCCGGGCCTACCAGGCCCACCCGCTGAACATGCTCCTGCAGTAGACTGCACGATCGTCGCACATAACGCGCGTTCGTGTTCACTGATAACACCCGCAAATTTACGAGAGAAAAAAATACCCAATTACTACAATTTTTTAATAATAATTGTTTACCTATTTACTAAAAATTGTTAAAAATAATTTTTTACCTACTAAATTTTTTTTATTAATATTTTTTTTAATAAATAAAAACATAATACAATACAATAAATAAAAATCGAATGATTTAAAAAAAATTTAAAAACTAAAAAGAACAACATTTATAAGTAATTCGTTAGCCAACCTCCTTGTAGTGTTTCTCAGATAACGCTAATAGGCTGAATATTTGTATAAATATTGAAAAATATATTTAATAACCCAGAAATCAACTTATACATAGGTACCTACCTTTTAACACGACCAGGAAATCAACTCGTACGCAGCCCCCCATCTCACACATTGTCTACGACCAAGGTTAACATAAATATTCAACAGTTATTTCTATTAACCTTGGCCGACCACCATTGTTTAGTTGCCCAGATAACAAAAATATCTAGATAAGATAAAGATAATTTTCTAAATAATTGTCCGGATTCATATTCAGATAATCATTTTAACTTCCATCTAGATAAAGATAAAAATGTTTTATCTAGATGTTTTCAATTTTTTGTTTAAAATGCATAAATAACTAATATGTTTAATGATTAATAAGATAAGTGTTATTATTATTATTATTATTTATTATTTTTAGTTTCTTCAACTCCAGTTAAAACTGTATTAGAATAAATTAAACTCTCAAACCCTAAAAATGTACAACAATTTCAAATATACTAATAAAGATTAAATTTTTTAATATTACTATATAATATTAGCCTATTATTTACACATAAGTTAATCTTTGATATTAGACTACATAATATTATATTATTATACTAACCTTAAAAATGTCTGAGTGTGCTAAAAAATCTATTTTCCGATTCAGTTATGAAATAATTAACATATAGTATAAAAAAAGTTATTTTATAGTAAGTTTCCGCATCCATTTTTTGATCAGACAATGGATTTGCTCGATTTGTTTGTCTTTTATTCAACCGTTTGATTGTCAACTCAATATTCATTTTAACAGCCATTTCCTATTTTTTTTTTTAATGTTTATAAAAATAACTAGTATTTATTTAACATATATTTGTGTAATTTTTTTAACCTTTGCTTATAGGAATATTTTTTTGAACTCAACGTCAACTGCTTCCTTTAAATCAATCCTTTCCTTTTTGTAATTGCTTACATAAAGGAAGACCAAATGAAAATAGCAACTAAATACATAAGAAATGGTATTTATAATTACATAATTTTGACCCATAGATAGGTACTTGTTTTAATTTCCAGATTTATAAAAAAAAAAATACCCGAACAACATAGACTGACACTATAAACTATTATATCAATATCCTATTATATCAAATTAAAATAATGAAACGAATTTTTTTTTAAAAACTGTAAGCCATATTTTTTTCAATTACTATTCAATCTGCTACATTTTTATGTTACGTGGGTAGTAAAAGACGCCGTCACATCAAACAACGGTCGTTTACGGTATACGTCGTGCCAGACGCCAGTCACACACATAATTTGCTTACCGGATGACCGCGATATCTTGCATCGAGTACGATAATACCATCAAATTTTACAATGGGCTACAACATTTACTTCGTCGGTATACGACACGGTGCATAGGGGTCCTTAGGGGTGCTTCGGTTAGTATATTTGTTATCCCAGAAATTATTGTGGGGTAGTAAGGGTATCTTTTTGCTAACCCAAAAAAAGTCATAGATTTTGAAAATATATTCGATGTTTATTATTCAAGTGTGTACGAGAGTATAGACTCTATTATTCCGATTGTATCCAAAATAATTATAATATGTAATAAGTCTAATACGGACAATAAGATACAGTGTATACATTATATGTCATACCAAGATTCATGAAGAGGTTAGCCAGTTATCATATTAAACCTATAAAAAATTATTTTTTCACTTTCTAAAAATAAACTTTGCTATCTGAAAATGTGCAACTAGTGACGCCGGTTAACCGTACGTGATACCATCCAACTTGAGTTATGACCAAGGGCATATTTGAGTTGAAGCCATGAGAGGAGAAGGGCGAAACTAATTTTCTTCAATACAAATTTAAAAATAATATACAGTTCATGTTCCTGTTGCTCATTCGAGTAAATAAATAAAAATACAAGTACCAAATTTAATTTAATATTTGTTTAATAAATATATTTAAAACCTACTGCATATAAAATAAGTATTAAATTAATAATAACACCATAAAAATAGTTTCTATATTAAAATTGTACCTTCAGTCTGAATCCTGTATAAAAAAAACAATAAATAATCATAGTAGTACAAATAATAGAACTTATTAATTATTTTTAAAAACTTTTAAAGACAATTAAGATAAGTAACTTAATTGAACAAATATTTAAGTAAAAAACATAAGGTTGGTAAGTAGTTAAATAACAAATTCCAAATTTCTTTTTTTTCATTTTGGAAAATTTGATGATTACTTCAAAAATGGATACAATATTATCTTTATGCACATGCAGCAAAACCAAACCTGTTAGTCTATGCTGGCCTATTCTCGATTTTAACCATATTTTTAATCTACAAAAATATATTTTTGACCAATATTTGCAAGTTAAAGAATATGGAAACAAATATTGTCAGTTATTATGATTATTATTTGGGTTAGGGACTTCTAGCTCTATAAAATACACAAATATGCATGCATTTGTCCACAAGAAAATCACTAAATACCTATGTACAACAAAATATACCAGATACTATGTTGTAAAAAAAAAATTAATAAGGACTTATATAGCTCTAATAAATACAAAAATATACCATATGCATAAATACACCAAAAAAATGATTAACTAGTGAATATGTGGTAAAAAAGTGTTATTTTAAATTACTATATATTATCTGATAAATACCTCGGTTATGGTTGTAAATGTCTATAACAGTAGCAATATCCGTGAAATACCATTATTCGTTCCACAACCAAAAATGTTATGATATGAGAAGATAAACAAAAATTGATACACGTGATCAAATTGACATATTATTGAATTTATTATCATATTATAATTACAGATTAGTAATTTAGTTTTAATTATTTACACATTACAATATATACATATTTATACATCAGGCTAATATATATACTAAGCACACTTTAATATAATAAACATTTTTTATATATTGTTGATAAGCAGATGAACATAATGATGATTATGACAATAGTAAGAATAAATTATTCGAAAAAAAAAAACAATATTATTTAATTAAAAATAAATATAATTTTTTTATATTAAAATTATTATTATTTTTTTAGGCTTTTATGAGCTATTAAGACTCTTAGCTGTCAAAACTACTTCCTTCCATCGCTCTCTATCATATGCCTGCTCCCAGTTCATTCCAATTTCTTCTAATAATTCCTTGACACTGTCTTTTCATCTTTTCCTTAGTCTTCCCCTTAGTCTCTTTCCCCTCACCATATATAACAATGCTCTTTTCAACTTACTTCCATCGGACCGCCATACAAGGCCTCCCCAATTTTTTTTATATAATATGAATTTTATCATTAATTTACACTTATTGATTTTTATACAGCAGCAACATTAAGGAATACAAATATTACATGAGGTAAATTGTTATTAAGCTAAAAATATACAATGATCAGTTAACATTTTGAGAAGAGAACAAAATATAGGAATTAACACGTTGACTGCCATGCCTATTTCAGTGTATTATCGTTTGGGGCCACGATATTTTTTTACGACTTTTAACTTATTTCTATTATGATTATTAGTCATAAATCTATCATAAAACCATTTTATGTGTTAATTATCCTGTAGAGTGTGAGGGGTTATAATGTCCCTCAGTAGCGAAAAATATGTGAATCACATATTTCTTGCTTTTGAGAGATATTTTGATCTCTCAACTAAATTAAAAATATAAATCACGAAAATCTTGTTTATTCAACCAATATCAAAGCAAAATATAAATAGTTCAATAGTTACCTATAACAAATTAAATTAATTAAATGTTATAAATTTGTAAAACATAATAAAATAATCAGCCTCTTTTTTATTAATTATCATAAATTAATAATGTAAAAATAAATAAAAATAATGTACATAATAGTAGTGGTAATATAAAAAGGAACTATTAAAACTAACTTAACTAAACAATTAAAAATTTAAAGTTTATAATTAACATTAATTAATTAGGTACAACCTCCTATAATTTATTTATTATTTATAACTTTATAAGAAATGCAAGTATTCAAATGCTAAATGGAGCATTTTGTTCTGTAGATAATAGAGAATCTGATAGTGCGCTATTTTGATGGTTATTGAGGGGCTATTTGATCCCACGAGTCGACAAAGACAACATAGCCTTGAGGGACAAATTGACCCCTCATGGTCCACTTAAAAATTCTACTGAGGGGCAAAAATGACAGTGGACAATCAACGTGTTAAAATAATAGAATAAAAAAAAAAAAAAGTACCTAATTTATATTAAAGTTGATTGATATCTCTAACTAACTGAATATAATAAAATTTAATTTAAAAACACTTGCATTTTTGCAATTATATTCAAATCACAAATATTGCACTTTTTCATTTTGTGTGCACATGTACAACAAGATCCCACATGTCGACAAGGTATAAATAGTATATTAATTTCCTGTTTATAACATATTTTACAAATATTTGACTTTGAGGAAATATTTAATGATTCAGATGAAGTTCCTGGTAGGCTAAGGGCAGTTTTTTTAATATTGACTGTGCATGCTTTTATTACCCTTTTAAATTTACCTCTGCATATACCACATTTGTTTACAGACAGGGCACATGAAACACAACTATAAAAATGACCACAAGGGTAAATAATTATTGTCGATTCAGCTTGCAAACAAATTATACAAAGCCTGGTATCATCTTCAGGTTCAGTAGAATTTTTTCTTCTTTTTTTGAACAGTTGTTGTTACATTAATGGGTCTCCTAGAACAATAATTATTATAATGATTTTTTGTATGATTAAAAATACTTTTAAAAATATATATATATATATAAAAGTAATTAAGAAATAGCAAAATTCATTTGGCACATTTAAAGTTACTTTTAAAAATGAATTCAGCAATGAAGTGATTGAAAGAAAAAAAAATATATGAAAATATAGTTAATATATTATACTATTAATTAATTATTTTAATATTAACAAAATACATACCTTTTTCTCAAAGTCATTTTAAATGCCTGATCCGGATTGGAAGAAAGAGAGTCAATCAATGTCTATAAAATAATTGATAGGTAAATTTTTTAGTTCTTAAAAAAAAAAATAAAAAAAATTCTTACTTCATTGAAGCAGTCCAAGTTTGAATATTTCTGTATCAACTGATGTACTGTTACCACAAATGATTTACTTTTAGTTAATAATAAATAACTACAAGTTGGAAATACCCTGGCATGTTCTACCCATGGATCATCAGTTCTTTTCCAGTCAATAAGCCTTACAGAACAGCAGAAGCACATAAATTCATCATTTTTACCATTTCCTAAAATAAATTTAAAAATATAATAATAAAATAATCAACACTATTGCTTATTAATTTACCAGTATAAAAAAATCCAGCTTCACAAAGGGAACGAGGATCTTGATATAGTTGTCTCTTACACTTTTCAAATGTACTCAGGCGACTTTCAAATGAAGCAAATTCGGTATGAATAAATTGTCTCTGAAGTTTTTGTAGACTGTTAGACCATTCTAATGAAACTGCATGGTATACACCTTCAACATTAAAACGTACAATTAGAATAATATCCAGCTGTTACTATAACAGTTTGATAACCTAGATAAATACGTTTAAAATCACTTTAAACAGTAATCAATTTAATTTAGAGTATAAATTGTAAATAACCACCCTTGGCTATACTAATATAAAATAGGAATAGTATACATGTAATATGCCACATATAACTAAATTATTTACGGAATTTTAACTAAACAAGTAAAACTACTAATCAAATCATATAAGAAAGAAACAGAACAAGGATCTGTAGTTCAGTCGTGATTATTCAATCAACAAGTACGCAGTTTAAGCCCACTCGCTTATCATAGTTTATTTAATTTTAATCTATTAGGTAATTATATTTCTACATATTTATTAACTCCACCGTCGCTATCATCATAACACTTTGTGACCATGAGCGTCATCCGAATCGATTTTGACATAACGCCGTCACCAGACTACTCAACGTTGTCGAAGAAAAGTTATATCTCCCTTCACACATTCTCCCTATCTAACAAAAACTCGAAAACTTCCACCGGTAAGACTCCACCAATTTTTCCATTAACATGCATATTAACTATGAATCCATTACACAACGTTGGTATGGATGTCGCCAAAGATAGTGTTTCTATCTCGATTGACGTCAATAGAGCCATATAAAAGAGAGATCAAAATGACCATAATTCAGATGAGTTCTAGTCACGAAACTGCAAGCAACTTAACGTCACTCAGTATCAGAATTTTGTTAACACTTTGAATTATAAAATGTATTAAATGTATTAAAAAGTTAAAGTCCCATGTCTAATTAATTAAAATTAAATACATCTTCGACTGCACAACTTGAAATCAAGCCGGTGGCACGTAACAAAAGTAATAATCAATTTCCATACAGAATAACTGCTAGCAGTTTATTATTTTTATCACAGGTTATGAGATCTAATATAAAATCTGTAATCAATAGTGTAAGTATATAAACAAACATTAGTAAGTAAATAAACATCAGTAAAATAGACAATGGTAAAATTAATTATTCAATATGTAAAATTAATGACTAACTGGATTATATTACAAATCTGACGTTAAATTGTATATTATCGAATTGTGTAGTTCATCAAGAGACAAGACATTCAAATTAAGGTATCTTATTTATGTTAGAAAAATTAAAAATATTATGATCAGCATAGAGACAATCACAATAGTTACCCTTAGTTCAACTGTAACAGAATACAAATCAGTGAATGAATCTGTCAAAAGTTTGGTTCAGGATTTTCCTAAATTTTTATATGTAAATCTGCAGTGACCCATTGGTGATCAACCAATATTGTATGTTGAAAATCAATGTCCAATTAGGTTGGTGAAAAATATGGAGTTTCATAAAATAACATCAATTTATCAGAGAAAAATAAATAGTGAATCTGTTTTAACTAACATTTTCGGACACTGAACAATAAATAAATAAATTAATAGTAGTTATATTCACTAAACTGCTTACAAAATACAGATTCAAAAATCTAAGATACAAATTATTATTCTTATAATTACTTGTACATTAATTTCTTTAGTTGTTATATAAAATATTAACTATGTGTGTATTGAATATAATTTAATATTTTATAAATATATTACTCAATATTGTGCAATATTACATATGTTTGTTTATGAAAACAATAAAATACACATGTTAGGCATTAAAATAACAGGGTAAATAAGTCAAAATTCTATAAGACGGACTATTTGCATATTGTATTAAATTCTCAGAACACATTTAATTTATTTAAGGTAAAGTAATGCATATGTTAGGATTCATCAGGCGTCATTACTGGGATTTTAATAATATTCATTGTCTAAAAAACCCCTTTAGTTGTCCATAGTCCACTCTAATCTTGAATACAGTTCCATATTATGGAATCCTTCCCAACTTGGTCATATTAACCATTTAAATAATGTCCAACCTTGCTTCTGAAGATATATATCATACAAATTCAAAATTAATTGCTCTACTAAAGATCTTGCTATAATGTTAGGTTTACACTCTCTTCCTTCTAGACGTTAAAGTTCAACAGTATATCGTTTATTTTTAAAATTATTAAAGGTTTTATTCTATGTTCAGAAACAATGTTAACAAATAGAATGGTTAGTTCCCACATTCTACACTAGGTCTAATCCTACCTTTTATGAGTCATTTCACATGCAACAGTATAATTTTAATGAACCTATAAGTCAAATGCTTTTGGTCTGTAATAGCCTGGATAATTTTGATTTAAATTTTGATAGTGGATCCAAATTATTATGAATCTATGTTTAACTTTCAATTTATACCTTTCTTCATTGCAATAAATTACCAGTTATAAGTTTATATAAATTAATATTTTTTATTTTTATTTTTTTATAATCAATAGTTACTACTGTATTTATCATATACCAACTTAATGTCATGTAATCATATATCTACATCGTTTTTTATTAGTTATAGGTATCTAAATAATATTGTATATTTCTTGTATACAAACTTGTTCACTCCTTGCCCTTATAAGGGCGTCAATAAATGTATTATTATAATTATGATTAATAGCTATACGAGTATATTATTTTTTTATTGTATACTTTTTAACATATAACTAAACGGTCTTCACTCACTCCCATTAAAAAGTAAATTTATTTGATATACAAATAATACTTTTATACTTTGTTCAGGTAAATTGTGAGAAGAGATATTTAACCTAACTTAACTAGATTTAAAATTCATACAAAAATCTAAGAATAATTTATTTCTCAATATAGATAAAATATGTGTTGTCCCACATGCCTTAATAAAAAATGTATTACATACCGAAACAAAAATAAAATTTCACAATGAACACAATTAAACAACTGCTTTTTGCAAATCAATAAACATTAATTATAATTTTAAATATTTAGGTATTAAAATCAGTAGTAATATGAGATGGAAGAACCAAATTGATATTTATAAAATAACTTTGAAAAATTATGTATATACTAAGAAATCTAAACAAAGTTCTAGAAGTACCAAAACTAAGTTAGGTTTATATAGCATTGATGGAATCAAAAAGTTCATATAGTATAATAATAGACTAGGGGGGGGAAGGTTGCTTTTGTAGCTACAAATCTGTTAAAATCAAATTATTAGACTATTTTTCAAAGAGTGTATGTGCCCAAATAAAAATTTATAAACATAAATAAATGTGCTTCCTGTTAAGACAATATATTTCAAAATAATTTTTAAAAAGCCTTAATCTATTAAAAGTGACAATGCAAAGAGTAAATACAAGATATGCAAAAAAAAAATTTTTTTATTAAAAAAAACCAAAAAAAAAAAATAACAGCTAGTACACTTAAAAATAATTGAAACCAAAGTATGTAACCAAATATAACAAACCTTTAACTTAATTTAATAAAAAAAAAGCATTTTGCAATGACTATTGAAATCTCATAAAAATGAATTACGTAAGCATGTTATTGTATTTATTTAATGTTACTATTATAAGATAATCTAGTTTAAAAATTGAATCTAAAATTTACCTGTTTTTTTTTTTTAATATTTCAATTTCCTATAATATATCTACTAATTTTTAATATTCAAATTTTATATTATGTACCTATTATTTTTATATAATTACATTTAAAACTGGACCCCCATACGAGTCTTCTCAGTGGAATCTCATTAATCATATTTATATGAAATTAAATAAAATAAAATTAAATAAATAAATATACATCATGTATCTAATAATAAAATATTATTTATTATTACTTATCAGTTCAATTAATTTTATCCTTGATTAGCCTATAATATAATCCTAGAAATTAATATTTAAACGCAGTTCAGCTCTATTTTTGTTTTGAATGTTCCTAACTTGTATTATGTTTAAAATTTTAAAATTATTGCATATTAATTTTTTTTTACTAAAATAATGAAAAAACTTTTTTTTGTTGGTATATTCAATAATAATGTTAAAATTATGTGACAGTCACTAAAATTAAATCCAACATAATTTTAATTTATAATAGAAGTTTAATAATTACTTTTTATAGGTATAAAATAATTTCCTAAGAACTTTGAAAACTAATAAAAAGTCAAAGAACTTATTTTAATTCAGACTTAGGTATACTAAAACAAATTAAATTAAATCTACAATAAAAACTTCACAAATATGTTCATTTATATTTTAATAAATAAAAAAAATATAATCAATTATAAATATAATATTTACCTGATTTATTCTCATAAGATGTACAATTTGGAGAAGCCATTTTATGCCTAATATACGGATCAACCCCGCGTACCCAATGTTTAAATACTACATTGCAGTAGTCACATATCACAATAGCATCCACACCCGTGTAACGTAGTCCTACAAAGGCCATTTGCTGTGGTGAAAGAAATGGTACATTCCATCCTTCACCTGTTCGATAACTGTCCAGAATATTTTTATATATACACATGCTGAAAGATGTTTTAGAAAACTACCTGTTGGCCCTAGAAAAAATTGTTAGTAATTAATTTAATTAGAGGACACTGTTTTATTTTTAAATAATATTTTATAAATTATGTAATAAAATTGCATGTTTGGAGATAAGTTTCATGTTATTCCACAAAAAAAATAAAATTTGAAAAAATGTCATCCCACCAACCCTTCAATTTATAAATAATAAACAAATAAAAATCAAATTATTAACAAATTACATCTAATCCAGACTCAATACTAATTATGCATTCAAATTTATTTATTTGAATAATATTAAATGTGTAATTGGTATTAAGTTTGAATTAGATGTTCATCAGATATTTCAAACATTGAGCTATAGCAACAATAACTCTTAGTTTATAATATTATTAGGATTAAGATTCTTTTTATCCACTTAAAATTATTAATATGTATGCATTTATGCAGCATTACAAAATTACCAAATATGCACAAAAAAAAAAAATAATAATAATAATAAGCATTTTAGCTAAAAGAAACTTTAAACTATGTAGGATAAATTTGATTTTACCTTTAATATTAAAAATTTTAAATGTATTATAATTTATATGTAAATACTTGATTGTTGTAAGTTTTAATTTTTACATTTTATATTTTTTTATTTTGATCAAACGAATCTGCAAATATTTGGAACTCACACAATTATACAGGTCGATAATTTGTCATTGATCCACCGATTAGTGTAAATTATTTTTAAAAACATTAAAAAATAATTGTAACAGCTAATGTGTTAAATAATAGCAAAGTAAATATGTACAGTTCAATTTGGATCAATGTACAAATATAATAAGATAACTTAAAATAAATAAGGAACCATAATTTGTAAGTTCATATCTGTGTGTATCCATAAAAATTGATCCGTTCAATGAAACCTTTTACTACAACTAGGTAGTATAATGTAAAATGGTAAGGATTAGATACATGCCTTTGAATTAAAAAACAACAATAAATAGGTGAATTTCCAAAAATTTCTATTGATCTGTCGATCGCCCACGCCTTGGTGGTAAGTCTACGACTGTGCGTCAAACGGCATATTATAATAACCACAGACGATCATAACACGTTTGATGCGTGCGAAACAAAAGGAGTTAAATTATTCTACTGGCAACGGCAAAACCAGCGTACGGACGTTGGGCTGCTGTAAAAGAGAAATCACGGCGTGTACGCGTTCCATTAATAATTTTCAATTGATACCACGGTCTCCGAGTATCCGGATGCGTACACACCGTGCAGATTATTCGCACGAACACATAATATTACATCAACATGAAAATCAATAGGAGACCACGTAGTATAAAAATAAAAAAATTGAAAAACTATACACGGATTATATACGTACACGGGTATAGCTGATGCGGACGTTGCGGCTCGGAAAAGCGGACCAATCGTTCTCTTAGGAGGTACCGCAGTAACGATAGCACCGGTGATAATATTCGATGTATTCGATCGACGACACCGGTTGGAAACGCAAACAACTCGGGTGCGCAAACGAAGCGTTTATACGTGAAACGTAACGGACGCGGTGATCGTAAAGGGCGTGAAGTATACTCGTCTAAGAACACTTGTCTGTGGCGAAATGATGCTGAGAGGACGCCGGCAAAAAAAAAAAACACGGTGCGGCACGCGAACGACGCGGACGCGGAGAACACGAAAAACAACTCGACAGTATGACCAACGCAAACGCGAACCGACGGCCGTCCCAAGACGGTGATGGGGCGCGTGCGCAGTCGTCAAGCGAACGAACGAATTTCTTACAACAAATATTTAACGTGTTTCTCCGAAAATCTTAACCCCGGCCCTAACCTCTATCTTAACGTCCGCGTTTTCTAAAAACGTGCTACCGACCGAAAAGCGATTTTACCAAAACCATTATCAACACTATTATCGACCGTACTCGTTATCACCGCTCGTTGCTGTCGACCGGTGCGTTATTGTTTTTTTTTTCTTTATCATTAAATTTAACATCCAATTCACAATAGCGTTCGTTCGGTAACGCGTACAATTCTCCGTCAAAATAATGCCTTCGTGTTCTTGTATTGATAGAAAAAAAAAAAAAACATAAGTAGTCCGAAAGAATTAATTTCGTATCTACACTTTTTATCGATAATTTTGTACACTTTCTTTACACTTATCATAAACGTTGAGAATAATGTATTCACTCTATGATATTATATATTTTGCTACAAAAACGTTCAGTGGTAATTTCTTTTTACAATTGATTTATTCGTAAACCAGACTTAATTCTCTACTATATGCCGTTCAAATGATTTAGGGGATGTCAATTAGCATTACCTTATTTGACATTAGAAAATTATATTATTTGTTATTATTTATATGTGATACTGGTCATGTAGTCTGCTACTTTTTTAAATATTTTTATTGTTATAGCAAAGATAAAAAAATTACAGATTACTATGATTAAATAATTTCAAATTGATTTAAAACTGTTATATTATAAATCTATGAATTTGCTTTAACTTTATATCAGATATAACAATGGCACTGTATAAAATAAAGTTATGGCTCACAATTAATTATGAATTATTATCAAAGATAAATTATTATTTGATATTATTTAAACTAATAGTCATTTAGAAACAGATTAAAATCAAATAAATATAAATTTATGTACTTCTTGGTTTTTAAAAAAATATTATGACTCTTAAGTTTGGGTTTGGATTTGAATTAAGCAATGGACAATGAATTTATTCAGTTAGAATCACATTATGAAATAGTTATAAGCCTTGGTTTTAAGGATTATATGTATAGTTTTGTAGTTTTTTGTCATTATTTACCAAGTTTATATCTTTATTAGTGAATAAAGATATTTAAAAACAATAATTTTAACACTCATTATATTTTTTTCAGTATTTGGATAAATCAAACATTACAAACTGTATAGTATGGGTTCAATGCTCAATACTGAACATACAGCTAAACATTGGAAAATAAAAACTATGGATAGTGTTTCTACTAACTATTGATGACACCATGGTAGAATACTATCTAGGGGCGTACCCAAGAATTTTTTATGGGGGGAAGGTCCAACATTTTTATTTTATCTATTCTCTAATTATAATTATAGTTTAATTCAATACCAATAAATTACTGTTAATAAGTATAGTAATAATCACAATAGTTATACACATATCACACATATTATACACAAAGGTTTACTGCAATAAATGGGTACTATAATTTGAAATCAATTTTTATTTAGTAGTAAAATGTAATAAAAAAAATAAATAATTTAACTAACAATAATAAATAATAATAAAAAAGCAGGAAATCAAAAATTTAATATAATTATTTTAAAGTATTTTATTATTATTAATTATTAATTATTGGTTTTAAATTATATTACATAATCTATAAACTTTGTATATTGAAGATAATGGGAAATTAAAATACACTATGTACTATTATTATACTATTTACTATTAAACCATTGAGTATGGTAAAATATCAATGGGGTACCCGGACCCGAACCCCCTCCTGGGTGCGCCCATGATACTATCTATATCGTTGACGCCACTTAATTTCTAGTTTTTATTCCATCTTTTCCTCACAAACACTATGAATTTAGATGTTTTATATTTATAAACTGAATACATTTATTTTATTTTGTGTTTTAAATATAAGTATTTCCCTAAAAGTTTTTTGTACAATATTTTATATATATTTTTACATTAATTATTGAATAAATATTTACATGACATAGTTAAAATAATTTTGTATAAAACGTGAGTATATTCAATTGATTTATTATACCAAGGTTAACTAAATATACTAGTTAATATGTAACTATATATTTGTCCCTCTAATAAATTTTCAAGTTACGTCCATGTTCATACGTACAAAAGTTCGAAACGTAAATGTTTGTCGATTGTCGATAAATTTAATGAATGAAGTCGATAAAGGAGTTATAAAGTTATTCGTGACAAGAGTGTTGATGTTCCGGAAAATGAATTTTATAAATGGAAATTAAATGTTTTACCAAAATGAATTGAAAAATTCGATCCAAAAGATATTTTTCATGCAGATGAGACAGATTTGTTCATTAAATATTTACTAAACAAAACGTTAGTTTTGAAACATGAACAGAAAAAGTAATACTTTAAATCATCGAAAAAAACAAAAATCCAGGGTTTTTTGAAGTAATAAAATCACTTGAAATGAAATTGACGCGGGCCAGTTATCGACAGATCGCATCCACCGAACGCGTCATCGTATTTGGCCTTCAGGCAATTGTTTCGCATGGGCCACGATTGGGAGCCGAGCATAGGCAATTTATAGTATTTGCAAGTGCGCGAGTGTGCATTATCGTTACTAGGAAACATTACAAGTTCACTAGAATAATGTTGGAGCATGCCGTATTTCGTACCATATACCTTTAGACCAATAAGAGAAAGATTAGTTTTAGTACTTCTCGATGTCCGATATCAATTTTGAAAATATGTATGAATTCGTCATCCTTATTCCTAGGTGATGTAGGAAAATCATTTTTGATATTTTTATTCAATGAGGCTTAAAAAATACTCGACTTCTTAAAAACCTAACAATGTTATTTAAATGCATGCAGTTTTAGAGCATCAATTATTTTTCTAGGATTAATGGAAGACATTGAAAAATTCTACTTGGTTGCTTCTTTAGACGGACTAATCTGAGATGATGAATTAGTAGAAATTAATATATATATATCTTATATATAATAATGTCCTTCTAGTGCCAAAGATATATCTCCAAAAGAAGTAATAGATAATAATATAATAAAATATTGCGAATTAAAAAATAAAGATTTACATTTAAAAATAAATGAATTATTATTTTTAAGTTCAAGGTGCATTACATATTCCACAGAGAGAGTATTTTTATTTTTGTATATAAAGTCTAAAAGGTAAATAAAATGTCTAGTTTCTTTGCACATTTTTTAATAATATTTATATACTCATAAATTTAAATATTTTATTCGAAAAAATATTAAGAGACGATTCCATAAAGCACCATTTAACATTGTTTTATATGAATAGTATGATAATAGAACTAATTGATTCGAGATATAAGCATGGATCGCTCATTAGGAATGGCTTATAACTATAACTAAAAAGTGTATAAAACATGTTTTTTACTTATTTAAATTAAATAAACTACATAATTGAGTAATAATTTTCAGTTAATTGGCTTTTTATTTTTATTAGTATAACACTATAACTAGAATTATTTGAATTATCCATTACATGTGTAAATTAGTAAATAATAAAATATTGTATATTATAGATTTTGATTATTATCGTAATCCCGAGAATTTATAACATTGGGGATGGTCGCAATGGCAATACGATAACGACATACGCATTGTGTCCATTTACTACTTACACAATGACACAGTATAAATGTACATGTCGTATAAAATGTCTAAATACTACTCCTTAAAACGTGCATGCTCCAACAACCTTAAATACAAGTAAGTAGATTATTTCATAGCGTGTGCATCCTCTGTAAACGGCGACAACAAACACACTCGTCATGTAGAATATCTAGGGAAACCAGGAAAAAGTTTTTCGAGTTATCGATAAATCTGAGAGATATTTAACATTGTACCGCGGTTTATATTCCGTGCGTACCGCGATAAAAATGTTGTTTATAATACATTTTGCACACTCGAAATAAAGAGAGATGTTTAATTTTACGCCTAGCCGTAATACATTGATTGATATTAAATTAATTAAATTAAATTCCATGTTGATTTTTGGACAGTTTAAGATCACCATAATAGTAAAACGATATTTGAGTGTAATTATAGTTTTAAGAGGATTTCAATATATTACCAACCTATGGGTCGCGACTGGAAGCCATCAGGCAGTTCAGTACCTACTACGATTATTAATAATACTGCTCGTATATTATCACATATTTTTGTTTATTTTTTTTGTGTGTTGGTAGGGGTGGATCATGTAATCAACGAGCAGCACATTTGTGGATTATTTACATAAATAACATTGTTACAAAACGGTTGGGAAACAATGATCTACTGTATTACCTCACGTAAATATTTTAATTTTGATAATAATCGTTTTAATTACGATAATAATGAGTACACGATTATTCATCCTTAACATGTACACATGATCGTACATTCAAGCTATCGATTACAGGCACTGATCGTATTAATTACGCAAATCGATTTATCGATTAGTCACTGAAACTTTCCGGGGCCTTTTACTACTCACGAGGGCTGCTTAAGAGTAGAAGTTGAAAATATTTTAGGCTTAATGAATAGATCGACGAAGAGTGTTTAGAGTGCAAGAAGTTACATGAGATTGTTTGGCACTATGAACGAAGATATGAGCGTGGAACGTCGTACGTGCAATTGTACGGAATCGGAGACAGCAGCTGACAAAAAATACAAAAAATAACAAAAATGTACACACAATTTTTGTTCGAATCGTCATCATGTTCAATTTGGATTAACTGTAGTAGGTGTAAATTATAATGGATACAGGTATAAGGACAATTTCATTTTGTATTTCATATATTTTAAACATTACGTCTATTTTAACATTGCATTTCAATTTTGAATAAAAGTGAGGAATGTTTTTTAAACAACTACGGGCACACCTCCGGTAGTCAAATCATCAACTCTACATTCGTTCGTGCCCCGACGGATTTTGAACAGTTCTTTGCCTCCCTACTCATAACCCCATAAGTCAAAAAAATACATTATTTAATTAACATTAATAAATAATATTAAAAAAGCCGTATAAATTAAACATG